AAAACGACAAGAGAACTCACAACCTCGCCGCGCAACCTAGAGTCCTAAACCTAACACTTAGATTCTTAAGGTCGCTTAAGGGTCTCAAAACACACTTAACTACTTAGAAAGTCTAGACTTAACTCATCCTAGGCTCAAACCTAGGCTCTGATACCAACTGTAACACCCCCCCCCCCCCCCAAACAAGGTAGATAAAAATCCTTAACACATGCAGATTAAACGACAAAACTAGCACAGCGGAAGATAAAACGAAAACTGGATAAAAGAAATTCGAACGGGGTGTCACGCCACGTCTACCAAACACGGTAAATGCTACGGCAAACAATCTGCAAGTGTATACATCTATCCCAAAAACATCAATCTAAAACTGCATGGGCACACAGGCCGCAAAACAAGGATGAGGGTACTAAGCTACCAGGCACTAGACATCGCGCTCGTCTAGACATCACTTGAAATATACAAAGATAAACATTGGGACGACGCCCGGTCAGCGATAATTGCTGGTAACCCACCAATACATGTGAAATATCATACATAGATAGATATAAGATGTAAAACCATTTTCGAAACGGAATACATAAGTATATAAGTCAAAACCAAGATCAACAGTCAACACAAGACTCATCACTCACAAGGATAACACGGGGACACATCCCAAACCACAAAGGTTAACCACAACGCAAAGGATAAAGACAAGACCGATGGCAACACATGCCAAAACAACACATGCCTCCGTGACTACACACGTCACGAGAGAAGAACACACAACACCAGCTATACTAGCCCTCGCAACATCACCCATCACGAGTTGATATGCCTTCCTTATGCCCTGTTCCAACCTTATGGCTACCCCCAACCATATATCTTCTTCCAACCATTACCTCCAGGACCCCTGTACTTTTTAATCCAACCTTATTCCCCCGGGACCGTCGTTCCCCACTAACGACCACCAACGAGACCACCAATTCATAGTACACAAGGTACCGTACACGGCAACACATGCCCGGATAACACATGTTATCCCCCAAAAACGTGAACCTTACACAAAGGCCACAACTCCATAATCACGTCACGGCCACCACGAGGACCGCTGCAATACCTTGGTGACTAGTGTCCCATACCACTAATTGTGCAATCCAGGTAAAGCCACACACGCACCACAACTCAACAAGAGTCAAACAACGGATCACAACGAAGGTATGAAACATACTCAATCAAGGAACGGGTCACAGCCCAACAACATCAACGATGAATAACACAAGTTATCATCAACCAAACGAAAGGTACAAACAACACACACGCTAGCATTTAGACAACAAACTAGCATGCCCATCAACGGGGAAACTCAAGATAGTTCCGAGGAACACACAAGACACCTCTTGGTTCAACGAAACACAATGTTGAACACTTAGCACGATTCAAGACACCAAAGTCCTACATGGATACCTACCATATAGTTCTAGGCTTACGAAACATCAAGAAGACACTCAAATAGTTCCACAAAAGAACAACGGGAAGTCAAAAGACCAAATACCGAGTCAAACGGATCACGGGGAACAAATCCCGAACAAACTCCACCGTGTTCCCCGCGGGTGGACCCACGGGTAGGCCCCTACCCGTGGTTCCGCCCGCGGGTACACTACCCACAAGCCTATGTACCTGCGGGTGGGCGGCGGGTAGGGCTCTCCCCGCCGTTCCGCCCGCAGGTACATACTTCTATGCAAAAAGATCCCTTCGGGGATTTTTATCTCCAAACTCAAATTCAAGTCCAAAACATGCCAAATCTCACCCAACAGAACAAAATGACTTGAATCATGGAAAATGCCAAGCAATGGCACAAAGGAACCCTAAACACAAGCTCTAGATATGCAATATCACAAGACAAATGCATAAACCCTCACATTTCATAGCAAAACACATGTAGAATCCAAGAAATCACATATAGGTAAGCAAAATAGGTTTTGTAGAGCATGGGTTACCTCTTGTAGACCAAAAGACTTCACTTTACACCACAACAAGCTCCTCACAAGGCTTATTTTCCAAACCCACTTCAAGATTAAACTAAAAGATCATAAAGATCCTACCTTTAAGAAAAAGACAACTAAGATGGGACCAAAAACACAAGGTGAACTTAGATCTTACCCTCCTAGATGCCCAAATAGGTGAAAGGTTGAATCTTGGTAGCAAATCTTGGAATCTTGACAAGGGTCTCAACTTGGCTTGGAGAATAAGCTACACTTCTTTTCTAGAGAGAAGGTAGAGCTATTTTCTAGGAATTGTAAGGAATGAAATGAAAAGCCTTCTAGGTTAGGTTACAATACTAACTCTTGGTGAAAAGTCAAGAATACCCTTACTAACCCTTAGAAAGTGTAAGGAACAAGGGAACTCCCCTCAAAGCTCAAGGTACAACACAACTTTAAGGTTGACTAGTCAAATACTAGTCCTTGAGTATTAAAAATCAGGATTTTAGGAATTAATTCTTCAAATAAAATAGGATTAATTGAATTTAATTATTCAATTACTCCATGGATTGAATGTGGATTTTTGGGGTGTCACACAGCTCATCCCTTGGGGAGAACGAAGAAGAAATATACGGTATGACGCTTTTAACCAACGGAAGGACAACATTGGAAAGGATTCGAAAGTCAAACTTTTGTTTTTAACTACTAAAAACTGGTATGTGTTGTGCTTTGAACTTTGAATATATATTGTATATTTGTAATATCAAAAAGTCATGTGGAACATGAAAGATTTGAAAGTAAAATTAGTCAATTTAATTCAATAAATATTAAAATAAGTAACCCAAACATCCGACCGGCAAATTATGCCCTGGACCCGTGTCCACAATTATTATGGACACGGGCCCAAAACGACATCGTTTTTCAAAAAAAATGCGTCATTTAGTTAAAAAAAAAATCGTGCGCGTTTTGCCGTTAACGCCGTTATTTTTTTTTTGGATTATGAATGTACAGTTATGCCGTTATGAATGTACAGTTATGCAATTATGAAATTATGAACACAGAGCTCTAACATTATGAACTTACAATTATGAACATATATAGTGATAAAATTATGCCCATGGAGCTTTAAAATTGTGAATATAGAGCTTCGAAGATTATGAATGTACAGTTATGGAGTTATGAATGTACAGTTATAGAGTTATGAATCTACAGTTATGGAGTTATGAATCTACAGTTATGAGATTATGAATCTACAGTTATGGAATTGTGAATGTACAGTTATTGATCGAATTATGAACAAAGAGCTCTAACATTATGAACTTACAATTATGAACATATAGTGATAAAATTATGAACATAGAGCTCTAAAATTGTGAACATAGAGCTTCGAAAATTATGAATGTACAATTATGGAGTTATGAATGTACAGTTATGGAGTTATGAATGTACAGTTCAGTGCCTAACGGCACTGTTACCCGTGTCTAGCAAGCATGCTGGACACGGGTCCAACGCATAACGATTGCGTCCGACCGATTTACATGGAAAACAAATTGGGCCTCCAAATCTTTAATCGAAGTCCGTCCGTTCGGATTGAACACCCAGACACCCAAACTGCTGAACCCGTTCGTTGCTCAACCCTAATTTTATTAAAGAGTTAATACCCAAAATCGTCCTCGACTATAGTGGTTTTTCTCAATTTCATCCTAAACGACTTTGGTGACCTAATATCGTCCCAGACTTTTGTGTTTCGCTCAAATTGGTGTTAAATAAAGGGACAATTCAGTAATGTCAATATTGATCTCTCTTTACTTTCAACTTGTTAAGTGCGAAATTCCTCTTTCTTGTACGTCCCGGACCTGCAAATCAAATTTTATATTCGCAGTTTTAGGAGTAATTCTGGGAGTAATTCGTAAAAAAAAAAAAAAAAAAAAAAAAGGATTTCGCAGTTCACATGTTTATGAGTAAAGAGATGCCAATATTAAAATTACTGAATTGTCTATTTATTTAACACCAAATAGACAGAATAACAAATGAGGGACTAAATTGAGCAAAAACACAAAAGTCTGGGACTAAATTGAGCGAAACACAAAAGTCTGAGATGATATTAGGTCACCAAAGTCGTTTAGGATGAAATTGAGAAAAACCACTATAGTCGAGGACCATTTTGGGTATTAACTCTTTTATTGAACTATAAAATAAATAAAGTTGCAAAAAAGACACAATGATAAATATAAGTCCTTTTTTATAGATCCCTTGCATATGAGTTTAAAGAAACTGAATAATGAAAATATATATTGTTAGCTTATCTTTAATTTGTTAACTGTGAAATGACAAAAATTTAAACAAACAACTAATTGTGACAAGAGAAAAGAGTTCAGAACATGTAGTAATATATCATAATAATCAAAGACTAAGGGTCGAGAGGCATTAGTCAATGATATGATGACAGCGAATTGAATGTCTCTTTGAAAGGAAAGAAAAAGCTATTGTCGCAATTATTGAATCAATATTGAACCCAAAAACAAAGTAGGCTGCTTGAAGAAGAAAAAAAAAAAAAAAAAAAAAAAAAAAAAAAAAAAAACTCAGTATTATTTTTGTTTGGATGAAATTTAAGAAATTGCATCTTTTTCCGTTTAAATTTTTTTAAAAAATAAACATATTATTTGAGGTGGTGGTTGTAGTGGTGATGATAGCGATAGCCATGGTGGTAGTAGTTATGGAAAGGCCACATGTCCTCTTTTATAGATAAGATAAGATTGTTGACACACCAAGAGCAAATTGTGATTATATGATAAAAGAAAAAAGAAGATAAAATTTAAAAAGTCCTTATTGGAGAAGACATAAATGCCCCTGGTTAATTTGGTAAAGTAAGGGCATTCTTGTAATTGGCTTACACGAAGGTTGTTATAACCGTTTCTTGCTTTGATGGCCTGGATATATATTCGAATGTATTCAGCTTCATTCCAGCTAATGAAAACACTTTCTTCCTTTCCCGCTTCTATCTTCTCTCTTCGTCTTGTTCAACACTGAGATTCCGAAATGGTATCAGAGCCACGGCGAGCAAGTTACGCCGCCGCAGTCAGTGGCTCTGGCGAGTCTAGTCAGGGAGTTCATGCAGGATCTCCGATCATTGGATCTCCTGTTCGCGCACCTCCGGTGATCAACGCACAGAGAGTTCCGCAGAGGAACAATACCAGTGAAGATATAGACAATCCTTTGTATCTAAATGTCAACGAGAACGCCAATGTGGTTCTAGTCAGTCCACCTCTCACCGGCAGTGGAAACTACAGTTCGTGGAGCATCTCCATGCGCGTTGCCCTCGAGGTGAAGAATAAATGGGGCCTGGTTGACGGAAGCTTCATCGCGCCGGAATACGGCCATGCTCAGTACGGTGCTTGGAGAAGATGCAACCTCATCGTCAAGGCATGGATCCTGAAATCTGTCAACACTTCAATAGCGCAAAGTGTAATGTACATGGAGGAGGCCAAGGAAATCTGGAATGATCTGCGAAGACGATTCTCGCAAAGAGATGCACATCGCATCTCATCTCTGCAAAACGAAATCTATGGCCTAAGACAGGGAAGCATGACTGTCAACGATTACTATACAGGCTGCCGGACTCTTTGGGAGGAGATGAATGCTCTTCGTCCTCTTCCGATCTGTAAGTGTGTTCCACGCTGCTCGTGTGATTTAGTAGACGAAATCAGGAAAGACAGAGAAATCGATCAGATAATTAGATTTTTGCAAGGTTTGAATGAAGAATACAATTCTTTGAAATCTGGAGTCATTGTGCTTGATCCTCTTCCCGAGTTGCATAAGATATTCGTGATGGCTGAGAAGTTTGAGAGACAGCTTAACATCACCAACTTGAATAGCATTGGATTGGAGATCGCTCATGCTAATGCAGTAGAAACCGTACAGGACCATTCTGATGATTCTAACACCAGTGTTAATTTTGTTAATAGCAGGAAACCAATTCAATGAGTATGGGAGCAGGAACTAAGAACACAGCTAGGTGCACCTTTTGTGGAATGAGTGGACATACATGTAACACCCCAGATTTTCAAGACATTTAAAACTTATAATAAAGGTAGGGAATCTTATTAAATCCCAAGATATAAATACAAGCGTTCGGGGTGCTATGCCACACCTGGGCTAGAGAACCCAAGTGCACAGGCTAACTAACTAATATCCTCAAAGCGTAAATACGTAAACGTGGCACGCAGACCAAAAGGGAAACTATCTACTTCTAAGTTCTAGCGCACTCCAGTGACTTAATCTTCTGTGCCTGAAAGCCAAATATATCTGTTCAGCGAGAGATGCTGGTAACCCACTCCAACGCGTTGAAATACAATATATAGAGATATATATAGATATACGAAAACCATTTTAAACATGAAGATGTATCCTACGAACTCTAGCTTTAAAACCGGGAATTACTCGACAGGTAAGGCCAGACACAAGCAACAATTATAACGAGCATATGCAGTTCACAACAGATAAGGCAGATAAGGCAAAGCATAAACAATGATCATAACCCAACATGAACAATCCCCAATATAAATCCCATAGTCACATCCCCCAAGACACTCGTAATCACAACTCGTCCATGTCACAACACATAACACACTTTGTTGGCGCCACAGGACCAATCGCATGCCCATACATGAGGGTCAGCGCATATAGCTCTGACACGGCCCCGCAGCACCCTGCCCCGTATCGCAACACGGAGGGGTCGATCGCAACCGACCGATGAACCGCAGCTCATCATAGTGTTTGATCGCAACCAAACAGTGGACCGCAGCCCAAGAGAATGTCATCTGACCGCAGCCAGGAAAAAGGACGAACCGCAGCTCGTATAGAAACGTTTGATCGCAACCAAACGGTGGACCGCAGCCCAAGAGTATCAATCTGACCGCAGCCAGCTTCTGAACCGCAGCTCAGGATAACCAATCCGATCGCAACCGAATTGGGGTAACACACACATAACACATAGCAAGCACATGCAACCCACATTACACATTAGGAAGGGGGAGAAAACGTATAACAAAACCTATGCGTGATCCATCACTTACTAAGAATAGTCCTAAGGGGTTCATACTTCTTCCACCTAGGTGAACGGGATACCAATTCCACTAGCATGCAATATAATAGACTCATAAACCTACGAACGGTACCCGAAACATAAAACTAGACATAGGCACGATAAACGGAGTCCGTTGGGACACCACGGGTAACGGGGAACATCAAACGGGGAAGCCGGGGTCCCGGGTGGGATAATTTTCCAGCGGGTAGCCGGTGGGTGGGGGCCACCCGCCGGCTGCCCGCCGGATTCTACTGTTCCGGGCAGCGGGTCGCCGGCGGGCAGCTGCCCGCCCGCCGGCCACCCGCTGCCGGGCGGTGTTTTACGGCCATGGGTAGGTGGCGGGTCCCCTACCCCCCACCTACCCCCCACTGACTCTTTTCATCACTTTTCGCCCCGGGAACCGTTGTGGAACCCGAAACCATGCTTAGACACTTTTCAATGCAATTAACGACAACACGTAGACAATTAACGATTCAAATACAAGAAACGAACGGCACATAACCTATCATGCTTTTCTAAATATAATCAACACCCAAACATGCGATTTCCCCACCCGATAATCCAAGAATAAGATTATACGATACAACCTAGGGTTCCAATCACTTTTATATCAACAAGAATACGGTTCGTCTTCTAATTGCAAGATTCGGTAAGAATAACACATAAACATCAAGAGCATCACACAATTATCAAGAACGACACATAACCATCAAGAACTCCATATAATCATCAAGAATTCCATAATCATCAAGAATCTCCCAATATCAAGATTATCAAGATCTCTCATGGGATCATCACATCAAACATCAATAATAATCATCATATCTCGCCAATACACAATAATATGGGGGAAACCCTAAGGGGGAATCATAGCTATGAAAATAGGTTTTGTTGAGACATGGGTTACCTCTTAGCCTTAATTAATTCCTTGGCTATGAAGGATCTTTCTTTAAGCTTCCTTGCTTTCTTGATTTCTCCTAAGGGGATTCTTGGAGCTCTTTTGGGGTGGTGGGGCGTTATTCTTGTGGGGGATTCTAGGTGCCTCCTAAGTTCCCTATTTATATATTTAAGACTCCTAGTTAGGGCCTGAATGGTATGGGTTTACTAATTCTATTCCTTATAGGGCTAGGGCTTGTTTTAGGGATAAGGGTCCATGGTCCATAGTGGACCATATTAATTAAAGAGGATCCTAATCATAATCTGAATAGTAAAAGGCCTACTTCCTTTATTCCTAACAGGCTTAAGATTCTTATTCGGGCAAGGGTCCACGGTTCATGATGGACCTTACTAATTAATTAAAGGTAAACCTAACATAATTAAATCATATTTAATTATTATTAACGGGATTAATTAAATAATTAATCCGGGATTGAAGGCCGTAACACGGGGTGTTACAATACAATCGAGAAGTGCTACAAGAAGCACGGTTATCCTCCGGGATGGATACCGGGCCACAAGTCTAAAGGCAAGCAACATGTTTCGAATGCAATGACCACAGCACAATCCGAGAACATCTCTGCTAATCAGATCCAGAGCCTCATATCTCTTCTACAAAACCAGTTGGGGAACAATCAACAACTTAGTACTGCTGCTGTGACTTTGGCTCCCAAGTTTAATAATATCAATACTGGGAATGAAGGCAAGATTTCTAAACTTACTCAGATCAATTCAGTTTCTCTTTCATCTTCTACATGGATTGTGGACTCAGGTGCTACTGACCACATAATATCACTAGTACAGAATTGCAGATAGGCAACCATTGTAAAAGACAATAGGCAACCATTGTACAATGGTTGCCTATATCACGTAAAGGCATTGACTTTACGCGACCATTGTGAAATGGTCGCGCATTGTCAGTAATACGCGACCATTCTTGACCAAGAATGGTCGCGTATTGTTTTTTTTATTTTTTTATACAAAAGTTTTACGCGACCGTTCTTGAACAGGAATGGTCGCGTATTGTTGATTTAAAAAATAAAAAAAATTAAAAATAATTTTAAAACTATATTTATTTTACACCATGTACAATTACATATTTACAATTCTAAATTAAAAATAATTAAAAGCTACAAAAGAAAATATTAGATTTTAGTTTCCCCAAAAGAACTATTCAAAACGGGAGTAAAAGGGGGGAAAAAAAAGACATTTCCAAGAGTCCTTAATAGTTTGCCATACCTGAATGGAAACGTCGAAATAGCGCCTCCCAAGGCCTTTCCAAGAGTCCTTAATATCGTCCATTTGTATCTCAGCAAAATGAAGCTCGACTCGGTATATGCCTTTCTTTAACCCAACACCATAATACCTCAATGAGCTCGGGGATATCCGGACTGTTTTGTAGAGTTCAGAGTCTAAGTGTTCGGGATCTGAGAAAACGAATGAGCTGTATAGTTCTGTCCATTCGGGTTGTTAATGAATATTCCAGAACTGCTCACTGCCCACTGCTTGTTCGAGCTCATGTAGAACGACGCTGGGCTTAGCATCTCCGAATCATCATCAAACTGAAACCCATCCACAGTTACTATTTGATTTCCACCACATTTGATCGAAAATGAAGCTGAAATTGACAAAATGGTTCCGTTAAGCAATCATCCACTAGTTCGATCGTCTCTTTCTTGTTGCAAAATTTTAGTGTATACTTACTTGATAAAGCTTTCTTAGTGCACACCGAATTTTTCGTCAAGCAAGCACTATCATCAAAGTTTTGCATAGAAAGGTAAGAAAATATAATCTATTATCCACGTTTAAACATTTAATGATCTGCTCAGATTGCATATTCCATCAACAAAAGCGCACTAAAATAGAATAAACCAAATACCTAATTAAGCTATGAATTTTTGCCACTAACCTGCGCGGACGTGACCTTTTTTCGCTAGTGATCAAAGTGCCAACAGCATTTCTGAAAAAAAGAAAAAAATATATGGAGGCATCTCGATACATAAAAATCTTGAAAGTTGAGGGTCGTAGGAGTAGGCTCACAGTGAAATATATGACTTATTGGCAGGTATAGTTCCAGAGATTTGATTGAACGAGATATCTCTGAGGCAAGGACCGATCAATAGAAAAAGGCAACAAGGTACAACTTTAGCACTGTTTTCTCGTTAAAATCCTCAGTTTCAACCACACAACAGAAGAAAAGCTCAAATATATATATATATATATATATATATATATATATATATATATATATATATATATATATATATATATATATATAAATGTAAATTCTTGGATAAATCCAGACAGGACATACAAGAAAAGCGTGTTAGTTATGATGTTTGCGGGTAGCTCCCCGCTCAAGTTATTGCTTCCAAGGTACCTGTGATGCACATGATTCATATTTATCCGTGAATATATATATACATATAAGAAAAAATATCGATGTCTTTAATTTCCTCTGCAAGTAACATTATTTTGTGAAGTCGGAGAGAATAGATCTTACAAGTACTCTAAAGAGGTGAAGTCTTTATATGAGTTTGGTATTATTGAGCCAAATTCACATGTATAATACTTTCTCCACTAACACAACACAAATAAAACTATACCATTCCAACACTAGTATAATTAAGTTGGCGTGATTATAACTGCTTGCTAGTTTTGAGTGTTAATAACTATACTTCCACTGAAATGCTTCAAAAGATTACCTTTTTGAGATGATAACAGCTGTTGGTTATTTTAGAGAAAAAGATGCATTTATTAACAGGTGAAACACTGCTTAAATACACAGAAAAAAACTGACAAACAAAAGATAGCCACTAACCCACTAACTAGCTAACATCAAGCCACTAAGGCACTAACAAGTAACTGACAATTAAACTCCTAAAGACTTGGTAAATAAAAGTAAACTAAACATGGGAATAAACTGAAAAAAAAAACTGAAGCTACTGATGCAACATTCAAACACTCCTCCTTGCATCAGTAGATGCAAATTCCAAGTCTTTCTCTCAAGTCTTCAAATCTGCCCTTTGCAAGAGGCTTTGTAAATATGTCTGCTAACTGGTCTTCAGTCTTGCAATACTTCAGCCGAACTGCACCACTTTTCTGAACATCTCTGATGAAGAATAACTTGATGCTGAAATGCTTAGTCTTGCCATGAAAAACTGGATTGTTTGAGATAGCTATAGCTGCTTGATTATCAACCATAACTCCAGTACTTGCCTTTTGCTCTAAGTGCAGATCACTTAGAATTTTTCTTAGCCATAAGGCATGATTGACAGCTGCTGTTGCTGAGATGAACTCAGCTTCAGCGGTTGATTGAGCCACAATTTCTTGCTTCTTTGAACTCCACGTAAAAATTCCAGATCCAAAGTTGAAACAGAAACCGGAAGTGCTTTTCATGTCATCTATGGACCCTGCCCAATCACTGTCAGAATAACCTTGCAATTCAAAATTTGGTGTCTGATAGAACTTAACACCAAAGCTTAAAGTTCCTTTCACATAACGGAGAACTCTTTTTGCAACCTTGAAATGAGACTCACTAGCACAATTCATAAATCTTGAAAGAACACTTACAGCATACATGATATCCGGTCTTGTTGCCGTAAGATACATCAAGCAACCAATCAAGCTTCTATACATGGACTCATTCACCTTAGTTGTTCCATCATCTCTACATAACTTCTCTTTTGGACACATAGGAGTGCTCACACTCCTACAATCATCCATGTTAAATTTCTTTAGAATCTCCTTTGCATACTTCTGTTGACAAATGAAGATTTCATTTCGTCTCTGCTTGATTTCCATTCCCAGAAAATATGACATTTCTCCAAGATCAGTCATCTCAAAGACTCTCATCATATCTTCTTTGAACTGTTTAATAAGCTCAATGCTGCTGCCAGTCACTAAAATCAACATATAAAGAAACAACCAGAAAATGATTTCCATCGTCTTTGATATATAATGTGGACTCACTAGGACTTTTAACAAAGCCTAGTTTCAGCAGGTATTCATCAATTCTGCTATACCAGGCCCTTGGAGCCTGCTTCAAGCCATATAACGCCTTTTTCAACAAATAAACCTTGTCTTCATCCCCTTTTGCAGCAAAGCCTTCAGGTTGCTCAACATAAATTTCTTCCTCCAGAAAGCCATTTAAAAAGGCTGACTTGACATCGAGTTGGTAGATTTTCCATTGCTTTTGTGCTGCAATAGCTAGTAACATTCTGATTGTATCTAGCCTTGCAACAGGAGCAAAAGTATCAAAATAATCTACTCCAAAAACTTGAGCATACCCTTTAACCACTAACTTTGCTTTATATTTGTTGAGTGACCCATCAGCATTCTCTTTTTTTCTAAATACTCATTTCACTCCAATCACTTTCTGATGTTGAGGTCTTTCAACTAACTCCCAAGTCTGATTTTTTTCAATCATAGCGAGCTCCTCCTGCATTGCTGCCCTCCAATTGGGATCTTTCTCTGCCTCTTGATATCCTGCTAGTTCAAGCACAGCAACGTTGCATCTCTGGTAGATATCAGCAAGTAATCTAGTGCCTCGAACAGGAGGATCGTCAATTAACTCGTCGTAATTCAGACCATTTGGCTGCTGAATTTCTGCAATGTTCCAACTCCATTTATCATTCTCCATGAAGCTTACGGATAAAACATTCGTAAGCTTACGGATTTCTGCTTATTAGAATTCTTCTTGTGTCAGGTTGAAAAACTCTATAAGCATTAGAATTTAAGCTATATCCAACAAATATGCCGGGCTCAGCTCTTTTGTCTAATTTGTCACGCTTAATTTGTGGCACATGAGTAAAACATAAACAACCGAAGACTTTCATATTTTTTACTTGTGGTTTATAACCATACCACACCTCAAAAGGAGTCTTGCTGTTGACTGCTTTTGTAGGTAGCCTGTTCAGCAGAAATACAGCAGTATTTGCTGCCTCAGCCCAATATTCTTTCGGAAGATCCTTCTCATGGAGCATACACCTGGCCATCTCCATTATAGTTCTATTATTTCGCTCGCTGACCCCATTTTGCTATGGAGAGTATGGGGCTGTAAGTTTATGCTCAATTCCAGCTTCCTCACAGAATTTATCAAATTCACTTGAGGTGTACTCCTTGCCATTATCTGACCTCAAAATCTGAATTTTACAGCCACTTTGGTTCTCGATCCAGTTCTTGAATTTGAAGAATACACCTGCAACTTCTGACTTGAACCTGAGAAAATAGATCCAACACATCCTTGTAAAATCATCAATGAAAGCAACGTAGTATTTGCTTCCATTGAGTGAAAGAGTTCTATAAGGTCCAGCAACATCTGTATGGATAAGTTGCAGCTTCTCGGTAGCTCTCCAGGCTCCTTTTTTGAAAGGAAGTCTGGCTTGTTTTCCAAATTGACAAGCCTTGCAACTTGGTAGATCCGACTCAATGTGAGGTAAGCCATGAACCAACTTCCTTTTTTGCATATTCAAAATTGCTGCATGATGAAAATGACCTAGCCTCTTATGTCAAGTCTGTGTGTTGGTCGAAGTAACTGTATAAGCTGCTTGCTCCTCCTCCATCGGATCAAGTAAGAAACTTTTGCCTCTCATTTTAATTCTTATGACTTCATTGTCATAAGTATCCTTGATTATACCCAACTTGTTTTCAAAGATGACTTTGAATCCCTTCTCAACTAGTTGTCCAACGCTAAGTAAATTCTGATCAATGTCAGGGACATACAAAACATCAGAAATTAATTTAGTACCTGTGCAACTCTCTATGGCAACAGTTCCCTTTCCCTTCACAGGAATGCAGTCACCATTACCAATCCTGACGTTGGATACTTGGGACTTGTCCAACTCTCTAAAGATTTCTTCATCACCGGTCATGTGATTGGTACAACCACTGTCTAGGAGCCAACAATAGCTTGAGCTTGAGCTTCTGCTTGTAAAACAAGATGCTACAAACATTTGCTCTTCCTCTTGCTCGCTTACTACTTGGGCATCGTCCTTCTGTTGGGAATTACTTTTGCATATTCTTTCATGGTGCCCAAGTTTACTGCACTTCCCACACTTCACATCAGGTCTTCTCCAACACTTGAAAGGAGGATGACCCTTTTTGCCGCAATGCTTGCAAGGAGGAAAATCTTTCTTCTTTTCTCCTTTGCTGCTGTTGGCTGCATCACGTGGGTTTTTCTTGGAACTCTTCTTCTTGTCTTTCTCTCCGTGATTGATTTGTAACTTAGCCTGCAGTGCACCTTCGACAGAACCTTCACTTCTCATCAGTCTCCTTTGTTCTTGAGCCAGTAAAGCACTGTTTAGTTCTGCCAAGGTGATTGTTGAAAGATCTTTGCTACTCTCCATGGAGGATATATTAGCATCAAATCTTTCAGGAACAGTTACAAGTATTTTCTGAACAATCTTAGAATCAGAAAATTCTGAACCAAGCAACCTAATTTTGTTCGCAATACTAAGAAGCTTATCTGTGTACTCCTTGATTGCCTCTGACTCCTTCATTTGCTGCATCTCGAACTCACGAATCAGATTCAACTTTTGCATTCCTTTAAGCTTTTCATCTCCTGCATATTCAGTTTTGAGGAAATTCCAAATATCAAATGCTGATTTCTGATTCATGATTCTTGTAAAGACCTCTTCGGAGACAGCTGCGAACAAGGTAGCTTTTGCCTTCGACTTCCTTGATTTCCTTAAATTATGACTCTTCAGCTGAGCCATGGTTGGATTATCTGTTAAGGGAGGAACTTCGTAGTCCTCTTTAACAGCATCCCAGAGATTATTTGCCTCTAGGTGGGCTTCCATTCTAGCTGCCCATATTTGATAATTTTCTCCCTTAAACACTGGTGGTGCTAGTGCTGTAAAAGGAGTTTCAGAATCCATTTTATGGATTGAATAAAGGAAGGTAAGGTTTTTATGGTGGGTTTTCCTTGGTTCACTCACAGATCCCTTAAGAAAAGAAGCTCTGATACCAATTTGTTGGTTATTTTAGAGAAAAATATGCATTTATTAACAGGTGAAACACTGCTTAAATACACAGAAAAAAACTGACAAACAAAAGATAGCCACTAACCCACTAACTAGCTAACATCAAGCCACTAAGGCACTAACAAGTAACTGACAATTAAACTCCTAAAGACTTGGTAAATAAAAGTAAACTAAACATGGGAATAAACTGAAAAAAAACTGAAGCTACTGATGCAACATTCAAACAACAGCAATGATGGCACTGAAGTAAGAATCAAATGGATTGGATTGCACACAATACAGTAGCAAGCATATAAAGAAAAATCACCTTGAGCCATTTTTCTTTCAAGCATTGACAGTTGACAAAGTATTTGTTTGTTGGGTCCCTGAGCATGAAATTCATAAGATATCTATCAGCATTAGGAAATAGTACTCAACTCCATAAGCATCTGCAAGAGACGGGTTCAACTTTACCTTGAAAACATTTGTAACTAAGTCACCTGTAAGATAAATAAAAGATTTTCATTAGTATATTGCATTTACTTCAAATTAACTGTTTGCACAAAAGCAGCAATTGAAGGAACAGATATCCACATCATTATTTATATGAGATAACGGTGTTGGCTTCTTTGGATCCGATATGAAGACACCTCCTCCTGGATCAGCAATAACTGCACTCACAAATTCAATTACATGTTTTAGCAATGTCTTGCAATTCTATTGCAGGATAACAAAGGAAAAAAATAAATAAAATGTGACCAACCTCTACAGTACAAGGATTGATTAAAACAGGATCATATAATGCCTATGAAAATATAGACTATTTAGGTGTTGCTGTTCTATCAACAACATTGAATGGGGTAGAGATACCATCTGTAATCAAGTATCAAGAAAATTTGGATTTGAAATAGACCAAAAAAGTGCAATGCAAATAAGTAAATGTTGAATTTATAGATATATGAATAGATAAAATATACCCATCTCAAGTTCAGGCAGAGCGCTATGGGGCCATATATTTCGTCCGCAATATGATGAATATCTACAAGGACAGAGAAGACATAATCTTTACAAGGATAGAAAAGAGCATAATCTTTAAGCAATATGAAATATATAACTGCAGAAACTCAAAGGTGACATACAAAAGTTTTACAGATTTGATACATGGAAATTAATCAGAGGTATGATGGATATTAAAGAAGAGATCTTAACCGTTCAATAAGGGATTTCTCAGTTGAGGATCCTTTCAGTGTATCTGTGTAATAAACATCAAGTAGCAGTGAGAAAGTCCAAGGAAACATGAAATATATGTAAAGTTTCAGAAAACAGCACAGAGAGCAGGTTAAAGTGTTAAACATAACATGTGATGCATATAAATTTATAGAAAAAACATGATTAAATGGTGAATAAAGGAAAATAAAATCCCTGCCATAAGTCCCAAGGCCATATCAAATCTAAGATTAAATGGTGAATAAAGGAAAATAAAATCCCCAAGCACAAACTTGCATATGGAGTTCAATACAGACAGTATGAGGATGGCAGCCATTAGAGATGGAACAAACAACCAAATATTAGAGAATAGCAATGCATTCATTCATAGAACAATGAAAATAAAACACTATGATTTAAGGATTGATCATGGGATAAGTTTAGTTACCTTCTATGAGGATCTTCCAGCTCCTGTTTCACACTTTCTGGCAGGTTGGCTAATCTGATAAGAAAAAATTTCTTTACAACTCAATCTTTATAATGTTATATCCAAATAAAACATCACATATATCTATGGTGTCAAGAATATATTCTTACCTAGGTGAAAGAAGAAGTAGGTTTCGATGCAACAAAGTATACTCAGGAACCTACAAAAACAAAAAGGATGAGAATGCAAAACACATATAACAAGCTGACATCATACTGATAATGCAGCTTCAATAATCTGACAGCTAGCCAAATTACAATTACAACTTTCTATCTAAAAGATTAACAGATGTATTGTGTAACTATGATTTACCCTAAAACATCTGAAATTGACAGAATTCCAAGGCTGTTCGGCCCAAAGCCCTCTTCAATTTTCGCCGATAAGTCAGCATTGATTCAATCAAATTCATCAGAAATGAAATCATCAGTAAACCTACACAAGTTGGCACCAGAATAACGTAACGCTCTACCCAATTTAAACACCGAAATGTAAATGCAACAGGATACTGAGAGCCGTGCACTTCAATAATCTGACTTCTCGGTGATGACACCAAACAGAGAAAACTCACTTTGTGCGACGGAACTCGGGAGGAGCACGACGCCATTGCTGCAAAAGCTCGGCAAGTGAGTAGTTCTGCGACGTGGTGGCGGTGGGTCGCCGGGCGAGAGCAGCGGCGTTCGGAACGGAGCCTCGGTCGGATGGGAGCATATCGGCGTGCTGAGAGTATGAGATCGATGGAATATTTCGTTCTGATCTGATTAGATGATGGGCATGGGACGACACAGATCTAGGGTTAATCTTAGGCAACGATTTATATTAGGAATGGTTGCCAATTATAAAACAAGTTCTATTTTAAGACAACCATTTCTATTAGAAATGGTTGCCCTTTTATAAATCAATTTTTTTTAAATAAATACAAAATACAATGGACAACCATTACAGCTAACAATGGTAGTGGATTATTAATCACTTATTTACAAAATTGCCACCGCGAATTTTTGGACTAAGATTAGACAACCATTCTTTCAACAATGGTGGCCTATGGTCAATCTTCTATGTTCAATTTTGTACTAGTGTATGTTCCCTTGAATTTTTTGATAATTATCAAACTGTGGATGGAGTCATGGTTAATTTGCCAGATGGAAACAGTGTTACTGTCAAGCATATGGGAAACATAAAGCTGAAAAACAACTTGTGGCTGAATGATGCTTTACATATCCCATCATTTAAATTCAACATTATTTCTGTGAACAAGTTGCTGAAAAACACCTCTCATCTATTGATATTTGCATATGATCAGTGTCTTCTAGTGGACCATGGGAGGATCAATGGCTTTGCTAAGGAGGAGAAGGGATTATACTTCTTGAATGAGCCACCAGAAACTAATGTCAACTCTGTTGTTTTTGATAGTTCTTTTGTGAAATGTAATAATGTTGAGCTATGGCATCAACGACTGGGACATTTCCCCATTAATAAACTGCACCTTCTTGATATTCCTGTTTCCAACACAAAGAACTTGGTGTGTGATACTTGCCACCTTGCCAAACACAGGAGATCTTCTTTTCCTATAAGTACCACTAGTTCTATGGCTTGTTTTGATTTAGTCCACATGGACATATGGGGCCCCTTTCCTGTTGAAACTCTAAAAGGGGAAAGATACTTTCTATCTATTGTGGATAACTACTCTAGACACACATGGTTGAAGCTCATGAAACGAAAATCAGACACTCGGGAAGAGATCAAAAAAATTTTCAAAATGGTACACACTCAGTTTGGAGTGATCATCAAGACCGTGAGAAGTGATAATGGCCTAGAGTTTGATTTGAAGGAATTCTTCAAAAAGAATGGTACTGTCCATCAGAGATCATGCGTTAATACTCCACAGCAGAATGCCGTGGTGGAGAGAAAACATCAACACATCCTTGCAGTAGCTCGAGCTATAAGGTTCCAGGCAGGTCTTCCTCTTGAATTATGGGGTCAGTGTGTCATGCATGCAGTATATCTCATCAATAGGCTGCCTTCAGTTATCCTCAATTGGTCGAATCCATATCAAAAGTTGTATGGTAAGCCTCCTGATCTTAGCACCTTAAGGGTATTAGGATGTTTATGCTATGCTGCTACTCTCTCTAACTCTCGACATAAGATGGCTCCAAGAAGCAGGAAATGTGTGTTTATTGGTGTGCCTGCAGGAGTGAAAGGCTACATTGTGTATGATATAGCTGATAGATCCACATTCATCTCCCGGGATGTGGTCTTCTATGAGGACAAATTTCCTCTTAATTCCCAGTCCAGTCACACAGTTGATCCCATGGCTCCATCTCTACCCATCATTCCCATAACTGAGTATGTGGATCCTGGTCTCCATATACACCACCAGCCACAAGAGGAGTCTGCAACACCAGATATGCCAGAGTCGTATCATGGGCTTGAGTCCAATGACAATATCCCAGCCTCTGGACACAGTGAACAAACTGAATTGATCTCTGATTCTGCAAGGAGCACCTCTACACACTACCATGCAGTTCCTACTAATGATAGCATGAGTGATCCTAATCCAATCCATCCTGTCCAAGTTCGTCGTTCAAATAGACAAAGGCAGCCATCTAGCAGATTGCAAGACTATTATTGTGATAGTGTTATGCACAACAAGACATCACCACATCATCTATCAAAGGTGATGACTTATGACAATCTTAAGCCTTCTCACAGAAGCTTTGCCTTATCAGTTCTTTCAACAAATGAGCCAAAGACTTATACACAGGCAGTTAAGCATGCCTGTTGGAGAGATGCTATGCTGGCTGAAATTACTGCACTACAAGAGAACAAGACTTGGCAACTCACTGAACTACCTCCGGGAAAGATCCCTATAGGATGTAAGTGGGTCTACAAAGTAAAATTGAAGGCCGATGGCACAGTTGAGAGGCACAAAGCGAGGCTTGTAGCAAAGGGTTACACACAGCAGCTTGGTATTGACTACCTTGAGACTTTTTCACCGGTTGCTAGGCTAACAACGATCAGGACTTTCCTATGCACGGCTGCTTCCAAATCATGGCACATTCATCAGCTAGATGTTAATAACGCCTTCCTACATGGCGATCTAAATGAGGAAGTATATATGAAGTTACCCCCGGGGTTTGAGAATGGGAAGCAGAACCTTGTATGCAAACTAATGAGGTCTTTATACGGTTTAAAGCAGGCCAGCCGTCAGTGGAACGCCAAACTAAGCACAGCCCTCATTCATATCGGTTTTAAACAATCTAAGGCCGATCCATCCTTGTTTACAAAAGGAGAAGGACGCAACTTTATTGCTCTCTTGGTGTATGTTGATGACATACTTGTCACTTGTGCAGAATTGGAACCCATCCAAAGCCTTAAACAGTTTCTAGATTCCACATTCAAGATTAAGGACCTAGGAACACTAAATTACTTCCTAGGGATTGAGGCACACATGGACAACACAGGCCTAACTATTTGCCAACGCAAATACACTTTAGAAATCTTGGAAGAGGCCGGTTTTTTGGAATGTAAACCCGTTAATACTCCAATGGTTTCAGGTTTGAAGCTTGCTCATAATGAAGGTATTCCTATCAGTGATCCCGGATTGTACAGAAGGCTAATCGGGAGACTCTTGTATCTCACGGCCACTAGGCCTGATATCACATACGCAGTACAACAATTAAGCCAGTTTGTAGACATTCCCACAGATGTTCACTTGGCAGCAGCTCATCGCATATTGCGATACATTAAGGGTGCACCAGGCCAAGGGTTATTCTACCCTACACAAACTGATATGCATCTCAAGGCATTTTCAGACTCGGACTGGGCAGCATGCGCAGAGACACGCAAGCCCGTCACCGGTTACTGTGTCTTCCTTGGCGCATCTCTCATAACATGGCGTTCAAAGAAACAAGTAACGGTGTCTCGTTCTAGCTCAGAAGCAGAGTATCGGGCACTTGCCACTACCGTATGCGAGGTTCAATGGCTTGAGTATCTACTCCATGATTTGCAGCTTATGTCAAATAAACCTGCCACCTTATTCTGTGATAGCAAGTCTGCGATCGCAATTGCCGAGAACTCCGTCTTCCACGAACGCACCAAGCACATTGAGATTGACTGCCATGTGGTTCGTGAGAAGATAAATCAAGGCCTGATCAAACTCCTGTCTGTTTCCTCCATTAATCAAACGGCAGATGGGTTTACGAAGCCTCTGCCATCCTCTCTGTTTCAAAACTTTAAGGCTAAGCTTGGTACACACGACTTGTATACGCCAAGCTTACGGGGGGGTATTGGAGAAGACATAAATGCCCCTGGTTAATTTGGTAAAGTAAGGGCATTCTTGTAATTGGCTTACACGAAGGTTGTTATAACCGTTTCTTGCTTTGATGGCCTGGATATATATTCGAATGTATTCAGCTTCATTCCAGCTAATGAAAAACACTTTCTTCCTTTCCCGCTTCTATCTTCTCTCTTCGTCTTGTTCAACACAGAGATTCCGAAAGTCCTTCAGTTGTATGTTCACCATCTTCCTCTATTTTCCTTTTACACCATAAACACTTGGGGTCATTCTCATAGAGTCATAGCTTTATGATTTCTATAATCTTGAAAACAGCTCCACCACCTTTGATTCAATTTTCATTTTCTTGAAGGCATCCACTACCTCTGCTGTAGTATTTCCGCCTTCTGCTTCAACATCATTAAGAGGATGTGACTCAAGATAAATCTGTCTATCCCTCTTTATCACGTTAAGAATATCAACGAATTCTTTCCACTTCTTCTCTGGAACGAAATTAAGCATTGAAATGCATTTCTTCTCTGGATATATTGGAATTAAACATTGAAATGCATTAATTCACAACTAAATTAAAGCTACTAGTGTCTAATGGAATTAATCAGTTGGACAATATTTCGAAACTCCGATTTAATTAACTCGGCAACTATTATAATGTATTGAATAATATAATGGAATCGCGGCTCTATTTGGTAATGGTTATGTTTGGCAAACATATCTGAAAAGGTAGCTCAAAGTTTAAAAAGAAACTGAAAGCTGAAAAACTATAAGTGAGCTTAAAACTAAAGAGCGGTTAAGCTAGCTGTTAAATTAGCTTTTTGATAAAATAATAAATGTAAAAAGACAAAAAAGAATCTGTTAAGACATAAGTGTGTGGCTTCAAATCCATGAAGAATTGATCTTCTGCTGCATCCACGTCGCATGGCCATCCACCTTGCGCTCCAACACTTACGAACTGCATGTCGCACCATCACCCACGTAATGCACATGTTCCCATTATTCATGCACATTTGTCTCCCTTTGCAATGTATAAATAGCATTTGTCTTTGCTTTGTAATTGTATCAAATTGAATTCATTCTTCCTTCTTTATCTTTATTCTTCACGTAGCATATATATATTATATTCAATTTAATATATATATTTTATATTTTCTCATTTTATATTATATTCATTTGTCATTCTATATAATTTCTTCGTTTATATATATTTTCTCTATAATTTAACTTCTATAATTCTCAATTTTTGATTCTTCGCTTCCGCATTAGTCCGCTATATTCCTAACAAGTGGTATCAGAGCGGTTTAATTGAGAGTTATTTTCAAAGATGTCAACTGTTACCAAGTTCGATATCGAGAAGTTCGACGGGAAAATTAGCTTTTCTATCTGGAAGGTTCAGATGGAAGCCGTTCTAACTCAGAACGGTTTGAAGAAAGCGCTAGCTGGGAAGAAGAAGAAACCGGCTACAATGACAGATGTAGATTGGGAAGATCTGGATGACAAGGCACGTTCAACCATTCTTTTGTGCCTGTCTAAAGAGGTTCTACGTGAGGTGTTAAGTGAGACGACTGCGTCAGATTTATGGTCCAAGCTGGATACGCTTTACATGGCCAAAACTCTGGCGAACACGCTACGCCTGAAGGAGCGTCTGTACACAATCCGTATGACGGAAGGTACTTCTATTAAATCTCACTTGGATGAATTCAATTCTATTTTATTGGACTTGGAAAATATTGATGTTATAATTGAAGATGAGGATCGCGCTGTTTTATTGCTTGTCTCTCTCCCTAGATCATACACGCATTTCAAAGAAATTATGCTGTATGGTAATAGTAGTGATACCCTTACTTTCGACAATGTTAAGTCGAACCTATTGTCCAAAGAAAAGTTTGACTTTGAAATTAAGTCTGAGGACAAAGGTGAAGGCTTGACCGTAAGGGGTCGTTCACTTGAATCAGGGAGTAGCAATAAAAATTCTAGATCCAAGTCCAAAGGACGTAAGTCCAACAAATCCTGCAAGTACTGCAAGAAGCATGGTCATGATGTGACTGAATGCTTTAAGTTGAAAAACAAGCAAGAGAGAGAAAAGTCCGCAGAAGCTAGTGTTGTTGAAAGTGATTTAGAAGGCGATGTTATGTTATCTGTTAGCTCCGATTGCAAACGGAGCGAAACCGAGTGGATTCTGGACTCTGGTTGTACATTCCACATGTGTCCTCACAAAGACTGGTTCGTCTCTCTGGAACCGGTTGATGGTGGAGTTGTCTTGTTGGGTAATGATACTCAATGCAAGGTTAGTGGAATTGGAAGTGTTCAGATTAAAACTCATGATAACGTTGTCAGGACTCTTACCAATGTTCGGTATATTCCTGATTTGAAACGCAATCTGATATCCTTGGGCACCTTGGAATCTCTGGGGTGCAAGTACATAGCTGAAGGTGGAGTTCTGAAGGTCATAAAAGGCTCTCTTATTCTCATGAAAGCTTCTCGTTCTGGAAGCTTGTATGTCTTGCATGGCAGTACTGTGACAGGTTCAGTAGCGGTATCCTCATCGATGTCTGATGCGGATCTCACTCAATTATGGCATATGCGTCTGGGGCATATGAGTGAGAAAGGCATGCATCTCCTGAGCAAGAAAAGTCTCCTTGTTGGTTCAGGTACGGATAAATTACAATTTTGTGAGCATTGTATTTTTGGAAAACAAAAGAGGGTTAGTTTCTCTACTGCTACACACCGTACCAAAGATGTATTGGAATATATACATTCCGATTTATGGGGACCGACTAAATTCCAGTCTATGGGAGGCTGTAGATATTTTATGTCTATTATTGATGACTTTTCTCGCAAAGTCTGGGTCTATTTCCTGAAACATAAAAATCAAGCATTTTCTATTTTCAAGAAATGGAAAATACTTGTTGAGACTCGGACAGGTAAAAAAGTCAAGAAGCTCAGGACAGACAATGGCTTGGAGTTCTGTGAGTCAGATTTCAATGACTTTTGTGCGGCAAATGGAATTGCCAGGCACAAGACCTTGCCTGGTAAACCCCAGCAAAATGGTGTTGCCGAACGTCTAAACAGGACACTATTGGAAAGAGCTCGTTGTATGCTCTCTAATGCTGGGTTATGGAAACGGCGTGATTTTTGGGCCGAGGCTGTTTCTACTGCTTGCTATTTGGTAAATAGATCTCCACATTCATCCCTTGATTTCAAAATTCCAGAGAAAGTTTGGTCAGGTAATCCTGTTGATTACTCTATCTTAAGAGTTTTTGGATGTCCTGCTTATGCTCATTCCAGTACGGGTAAATTGAACCCGAGAGCTGTCAAATGCATTTTCCTTGGTTATGCCTCTGAGTCAAAAGGGTATCGTCTATGGTCTCCTGATTCTCGGAAAATCATTCTGAGTCGAGATATCACTTTTGATGAAAATGCACTACTTTCTTCTGGAAAAGTTCCCAGTACAGATGAGACACAGAGTACTGGTGAGAAGGTGGAGTTTGAGTTCAGGCCTATTGATAGTGTTACTACTGCTGATGGTAATACTAAAGATGATGCATCTACTAGCGTCGCACCTCTCGTCGAGCCACTACGAGAGTATTCCATTGCTATGGATCGTCCTAGGAGGACAGTTAAGAAACCTGCTAGGTATGCTAGTGATGATGAAACCAACTTGGTTGCTTATGCTCTTTCAGTCACACAGGAGGTTGATGGTGTTCCATCCTGCTATTTCGAGACTCTTCCTGTTGCTAAGTTCAAGTAGTGCTTGAGTTTAGTCGGGCTGTTCCAGTTGTTAATTCCACAATGGATTTGATCCAAGGTGGAGATTGTTAAGACATAAGTGTGTGGCTTCAAATCCATGAAGAATTGATCTTCTGCTGCATCCACGTCGCATGGCCATCCACCTTGCGCTCCAACACTTACGAACTGCATGTCGCACCATCACCCACGTAATGCACATGTTCCCATTATTCATGCACATTTGTCTCCCTTTGCAATGTATAAATAGCATTTGTCTTTGCTTTGTAATTGTATCAAATTGAATTCATTCTTCCTTCTTTATCTTTATTCTTCACGTAGCATATATATATTATATTCAATTTAATATATATATTTTATATTTTCTCATTTTATATTATATTCATTTGTCATTCTATATAATTTCTTCGTTTATATATATTTTCTCTATAATTTAACTTCTATAATTCTCAATTTTCGATTCTTCGCTTCCGCATTAGTCCGCTATATTCCTAACAGAATCATCTTCAAAAAATTTAATTTAGTTTGTTTACATATTAAAATTTAACATTTTGTCTTCAACAAAAATTAACATTTTGAAATAAAATTATTAGCATAATCATGATCTAGCATCACATATGAAGTAGCAATAGTATTGCGAATCTATTTAATATAATAATAATAATAATAATAATAATAATAATAATAATTGCGGGAAAGTTGCAGACATAAATGAGAAGAGAAAAGGATTTTAATTGTGAAGGGTAAAGGATTTCATTTAAAAATAAAAAAATTAAGAAGCAACGCTACTACTCTTATTTTAAACTACGAGCTTATTTAGAAACATTACCCAACAAAGCTTATTAGTTGTAGCTTAAAATAAGCAAGCTCATACTCCTAACTAAGCTCTGAACAGAGTTTATATAATACCAAGTGGCTTGTAGTCCACCAGCAACCGGTTGGCCCCTTATGTGGGATATCTTAGGTTCGAGCCTTGGTGAAGGCTCCTTTGTAAAATAAAAAAAATAAAAAAAAATTAAAAAAAAAAAGTCTATATAATAGTAGAAAGGTGTTTGGTAAATTAGTTGTTTTGTATAATTTTTTTTCTCAAAAAATTATTGCAACTTTTTGAATTTTAGTATTTTGGAGTTATAAAAAGCTTATTTCTAAACACAATACTTTTAATTAGAAAATTAGAAAACATTTAAAGATTTGTCTAACTAGGTACATATAATTACCAAATCACATGATGACATCTCAGAAGAAAAATTTGTACGAGAAATACATGAGGGGTATGTATCATTGCGCTTAATGATTTCTATTCTCATTACTCATTTAAAATCTATTTAAATTCACTCTTATTTAGAAAATTATTAAATATTTAAAAATTTGTCTAACTAGGTACATATAATTAGGGACTACATTAACTCAAGTCAAATAGTTCATAGTGATCAAATAAACGGCCAAAAAAAAAAATTCAAGAAAAAAAAATTAAAATTAACTGTTAACCTAATATTTTAACAAATAGGACCTTATTTTCTAGGGATTATAAAAGATAACACATACCCCTACCGACTGTATTATAAACATTGAATACATGCATTCATGAGGGTATATATATATATATATATATATATATATATATATATATATATATATATGTGGATTTAATTGTATATACCTGTAGCTTCGAACAGATATTGGCTAATTGTGCGCTGCAGTTTAGTGAGCGTGCGAGATATCGGTCGAATCATCGCCTGGTGAACATTATCTAGGTCCTCATGAACTTTATCTAGGTTCTCATGAACTTTATCAATGTCCCTAGTGAAGCTTTCAGCAGCTGAAGATTCAGATTCAAATTAAAGTTAGACACATATTTATGATATATATATATATATATATATATATATATATATATATATACAGAAAAGATGAGATCGAAATACATACATGAAACAGCAGCCTGAAGGTTGTGAAGTTGTTGGTTGTGTTGTTCCATAAGTTTGTAAAGTGCAGTCATGGAGCTGTCACCAACTGAAGAAGAAGATGATTCAGATTCTAAATTAAACACATCCTTTAATTTTCTCGAATTATATTTTGAAATTCAGATTCAGAAGGAAATATAATCGAAATACCATTAGCTGCCACACGTCTCTGGCGTTCTTGGATGAGTTCTTGGTTGTAAGATTTGTATAAGTATTACAATAATATTTACATTAGATCGAATCAAATCACAATTTTAGTTATAAGTACTACAAATTACAATGGAAAAAGACATCAGATCAAAATACCTCCCATTGCCACAACTTTCTTAACATGTTGGATGTAATTTGCGATTTCGACAATTTCAGACGCATTAACCGCCATTTGTCACCTCTAGCTGAGATACAGAAATTAAGGAAAACTTTCAGATGAAATTCAAAACAACGTACATACAGCAGCTATTGAATTCGAGATCGATCCATCGAGAATGAAATCACATTCAGAGAATGAATCCCAAGTTATTTCTTTCTTGCAAAACTGCGTGCCTGGGTTGGGAATATAGGGAATTGTCCACATGGGTTTAACTCGGTTCAGTAGACAGTATTTGGAAGAATAAATTAAATCAAGATTCGAACCTTGACAGCAGTAGTGTAAGAATTATGCCTAAAGTGGACAGTACGCACACCATTGAGCCATTGAATTACTATGATTTAATCATCTCAAATACTTTTTCGAGTCGGGATGTGAGGCCTTTGGGGTAAAAATTCAACCTTTTGAGAAAAAGAGGATTATAGGGAATAATATTCGAAAGAAGTTTAAAAATAAACGAGAAAAATTATAAATGCGGATAGATAAAACAAGCTATATGGGAGAGAGATACAACATATGTGGTATATATATTAAATCTTTGTAAAAGAAGTTACAACGATTCCTACGTTTGAAGAAGATCAGATGAATACCAAATTGATAGATGATATTGAAAGTTAATTACAAACCCTTATTTATATTAAATTAATGGAGAGAGAATAGCACAATAAGTGATGGAGAGAAACTTGAGGGAATGGAACTGATCTGATTTGATTCAACAAATACTATGGGAGTGGACTGCTGACTTCTTCCCCTCCAGGGGATTTGGGCTTCCAACAGGTATGGAGGAATATCAGGAATAGTTATGCTGTGCATCTGTATGCACCATGCATGGTGCATACAGATGCAAAAACGACGTCGTTTTATTAAAAACGCGCGTCTCTCCTTTAAAAAAAAAAATTCAGGTTCGATTCCTAGTAACAACATTATTTTGTTCATTCATTATGAAATTTTAGTTCATGGATTATGGAATTATAGTTCATCGATTATGGAACTATAGTTCATCGATTCTGGAATTATAGTTCATCGATTCTGAAATTTTAGTTCATAGATTCTGGAATTTTAGTTCATTCATTCTGAAAATTTTAGTTCATAGATTAGATTATGGAATTATAGTTCATCAATTATGGAATTATAGTTCATCGATTATGGAATTATAGTTCATCGATTATAGAATTATAGTTTCGAACCTAATTTTTTTTTTAAGGGGATACGCGCGTTTTATAAAAACGACGTCGTTTTTGCATCCGTATGCACCATGCTTGGTGCATACGGATGCACAGCATAATTTGCCGAATATCAGAGCAAAGGGATAGATTCTTCTAAAATAAGGCCGGAGAATATGGGTATGTTTGGTTGGTGGGTTTTGCACATAGGAATGGGTATGAAAGTGATTGTTGTTGTTTGGTTGATAGATTTTTAGAACACTACTATGGGTTTCGAATACCCCATCAATTGAAAAACTCATACCCAAATAAAATAAGGGTTTCATTCCCTTATTCATTCTCAAGCACTACTATTAATAACCATTCTCATTCTACCCTACTACCAAACATGTTAAATACTTTCACCAAAACCCATTACCATTACCAAGTATTTGATACCCATTCCGATTCCGATTCCTATGTGCGAACCAAACACACCCTATATTTGATGGAAATAAGTTTATAAAAAATTGTTTGGTGTTACATTAGAAATATAACAATTAAATTATTTGGAGATTAAATTAAAATGTTTAGTTCAATTAAATTTTCTCATTCAACTTTTTAAAATCTCTAATATATCCCTGCTATATACTAATTTAATATTAAAAAACATAATAAATAATTGAGAATAGTTTAATAAATTACTTGTAAATTAATAAATCATATGGCAAAGAAGTCCAGCGTACAACAAGAATATTCAAAATACAAAATAATATATATGTTAGAAGTGGAATATATATATATATATATATATATATATATATATATATATATATATATACTAGTTTTACATGCGCATTGCGCAAACGAGTTAATATTCAATGTTTATAATTAAATAAATATTTGAAAGTATATCAATACAAGATTATATATGAGAAGTTCATACATAAGTAATTTAATGTCAAATTTGTTTATTTAAATATGTAACTCATAGTATATTAATACAATATAATATAGGAGATTCATTAATTGTTACTAAACTTTTTTAAATAGTAATCAAGTATTTTTTATTCAAAGTGTTCTAATATATTTAATAAATGCATATATATACAAGATCAATGAATGAATCAACGGTACCAGTCCTTTAGTTGTTTTGCTAATTTAAAGAATTTAAATGAAGTAGTAAAAATTTAAAAATTTTAATTATAATGTAACCCAAAGATATTGAATGATTGGTAAAATATGATGTAACCCAAAGATCAAAATGCTAAAAAAAAGTGTTTGGTTATTCAATAGTTTTAAGTAACAATTTGTTCCAAGCCAACAATATTTTCACTTAGCGTTTTTGAGAATGATTTCCCCAAAACACCTCTATATTAAAAAAATAAAAATAAAAATTCAAACTGTAGAGCATTTTGACTCCTTGAATAACAAGAGTCAATTTCGCTAGCTCACTGCTTGCCCATCAACGGATGGGCAAGCTTATTTTTAAATTGGAGCCTTAAGACTCCTTTTATAGGAGCCTCAAGGCTCACAAGCCACTTTTCCCATCAATGTGGGGAAAGTGAAAAAACTAAGGGGAGTCGAACGTTCGGCTCCCCATATGTTTTTTTTTATTTCTTTTATTAAAATACTATTATTATTATTATTATTAAATAATAATAATAATAATAATAATAATAATAATTATTATTATTATTATTATTATTATTATTATTATTATTATTATTATTATTATTATTATTATACCCTTAGGTCATTTTACATGTTAATCTAAACAGCTAATTTTTTCAAATATCTTTTTACCAACCGTTGCTATAATTTGCTGGTCAAATCCACTAATATAATCCGCTAAAGCTAACCGCTGATTGCCAAACAAAGACATTGCGCGATAGTTTCTCACTTTAATTTGTTGTGTGATTTGAACACTACTACAAAAATCGCTTATAACGTCTGTTTTTTAAGACACTTAACGTCCGTTTTCGGCTGATGTCTATGCCGCAGACGTTGTAAATAAAGAGATACGATGTCAGTTAAAAAAAACGACGTCGTATATTTTTTTTAAAAAAATAAAGTGACATAATACGTCGATTTTTTTGTAAAATCCGACGTCTTATGTTAACTTTAAAAATAAAAAAATAATAATAAATGACGTCAGTTATTTATAAATAATCGACGTAGTTTTTATTATATTTTTATTTTACGATTTTCCACCGCATTAATCTTGTACATCTTTTACAATTCACAACAATTTTAAGAACCTGTCCAATAATTTACGAGCCGACGTCATATAATTTCTAATTTCATTTTTTTTTATTTCATTATATATAACATTAGTTTTAACTAAAAATCGATGTTATATGTATTTATAAAAAAATGAAAATTATTTTACATTTTTAACGTCAGTTTTGTAAAGAACCGATGTTAAAAGGGCAACGTTGTAATACATTTCTGTAGTAGTAGAATACTCTCTTTGTCCACAAATTCCTCAAGTAGTTAATATGATTGGCTTAATTATATATTTTTTTAAATTTTTTCATGGTATTAATAAAATACTTGGTAAATAAATATATAGCATTATTTTGTATTATAACTTTGATATTTAATTAAAAATAGTGCACAAAAAAAAATAATAGACAATGTAGTGAATATAATCAATTGATGAATTTGAATATAAAGAATTTTTACATTGGAGAAAAATAAACACAATATAACTAATGAAATTATTTCTCTTAATTAATTTATTGGTAATGAATATTTTTTTTTTTTTTTGAATAAAGACATTGTAAGGACAATGTAGCGAATATAATCAATTGATGAATTTGAATGTAAAGAATTTTATATTGGAGAAAAATAAAGACAATATAACTAGGTCTGGGTTTTAAAGACCTGAGAGCATTTAACGTAGCACTGTTGGGTAAACAGGCTTGGAGGCTACTTACCAATACTAGCTCATTGGTAGGGGTGAGCATCGGTCGGTTACAGTCAATAACCGACCGAAAACAGATTAACCGATTGCCTTTGCCTTTTTAAGGTTCTAGTAACCGACCGATTATTTATACCTAACCGACCGAAACCGAAAAGGTCGGTTTCGGTCGATTATACCTGTTATCGAATAACCGAGAATTGCACAAAGCAAAGGTAAATTTCAAATAAATAACATTATACTATTACATCATATATTCAATTCTAAATTATACAACTTACAATCCAAAATCAAAACTCTAAAATTTTAAGTTCCAAGCATTTCCAAGATCAAAGAGAAGACGGCTAATATATTCAATTATAAATGACACAACTTACAATCCAAAATCAAAACTCTAAAATTTCAAGTTCCAATCATTTCTAAGATCAAAGAGAAGACTACTATCAGTGTAGTCACCAAAACAAAATACCTTGGAGCGAGTTTGTGAGAACTGAGAACTGTGACTTGGGCAGAACCGCAAAATGAACTTTGAAGAGGTGAAGATCAAAGAGAAGATGCCAATGGGCTGAGCCACCGACTGGCCGAGTGCCAAGAGCTGGTGCCGAAGGTTGATCGTGAGAACTGTGAAACCTTGAAAGTCGATTGTGATTTGCATCGCTGAACGAGATGCCGATGAAGCCTGAAACAGAGAGACTCGTTTTAGGGATTTTTGTGGGTTGAAATGTTGAATTGGGGATTGTCGAAGGGATGTTAGTGTTTTAGTGAAATAGTGTTAGATTATTATAGGATATTATATTGCTTTGGCAGATTGGGTTATTTTGGTTGATATTAAGGCATTGGGCTTTGCTTATGGATTGGGCATCTATTGGGCTAAACTACAAATAACATATATATATTATATATATTTCATTAATGGTATATATATTGTCGGTTATTCGGCCACCGATT